GCCACTGGCCCCACGTGGCTGCTGAGCACTTGAAATCTGGCTAGTCAAACTGAGATGTGTTCTAAGTATAAAAATACACACTGGATTTCGCAGACTTCATATAGAAAAAAAAGTAAGAAATTTCTGATACTTTTCATACTGATTAAAAGTTGAAATGAGAGGGGCGCCTGGGTGGCTCAGTCGGTTCAGCTTCTGACCCTTGGTTTTGGCTCAGGTCATGATCTCAGGGTCCGGATCTCAGGGCTGTGAGATCCAGCCCCACGCTGGCCGCACACTGCGCTGGGTCTGCTTAAGACTCTCTCTCCCTCTGCCCCTCCCCCTGCGCAGTCTCGCTCTCTCTCTCAGAAGTAAGTAAATAAATAAATAAAATAAAGTTTGAAATGAGAACATTTAGGATATATTGGATTAGATCAAGTATACCAAGATTCATTTTACCTCTTGTTTTCTACCTGTTCATTTATTTATTTATTTCTTAAAGATTTTATTTATTCATTTGAGACACAGAGATACAGAGAGAGAGGACATGTAGGGGGAGAGGCAGGGGTAGAGACAGAGGGAGAGGGAGAAGCAGGCCTCCCACAGAGCAGGGAGCCCGACACGGGGCTCGACCCCAGGACATGACCCGAGCAGAAAGCAGATGCTTAACGACTGAGCCACCCAGGTGCCCTGTTCATTTGTTTTTTAAAAAAAGATTTTATTTATTTATTTGAGAGAGAGAGAGCACAAGCTGAGGGAAGAGCAGAGGGAGAAGGACAAGCAGACTCTGTGCTGAGCGTGGAGCCCTATGGGGGGCTTGATACCAGGACCCTGAGATCATGACCTGAGCGGAAATCAAGAGTCCGAGGCTTAACTGATTGAGCCACCCAGGCATCCCTCTACCTTTTTAACTGTGGCTATTAAAAAGTCTTAAATTACGTATGTGGCTTGTATTTTGTTTCTAGTGGATAGGGCTGAGCCAGAGCGCTTATTGATAGCAAGGATAATTCCAAGTGCTAAATGTGTAGTATCTCATTTAATCCTACAATGACTCTCAGAGGTGGCTAGTATTCATCTTTCTGCAGAGGCGGAAATCTGACCTGCAGAGAGTAAATGGCCAAAGATTCACCACCAGCAAGGAGCATAGTGGGGGTTTGAACCTGGGTGGAGTCCCTCTGCCTAACCAATGGGCACTTAACCCCACACTACTGAGTGCAGGCGCCACTGCGCTGGGACATCCATAGCCATCAGGGCAGAAGGAACAACACAGAGATATTCCAGGAACTAGATGGGCTTATGTGCATTTGGCCATGGGGTGACCCCACCAGAGGATCTGCTTTCTCGGTGGCCGTTTCCTTACCCTGGGGACTCTGAATTCAGTTTTAGCAGGGCTGTCTGTCTGCCTTGTCAATGCAAGTTAATCTTTAGGAAGCGTACTTAATAACGGTCCACTAAGCACTCTCTAACCCAGCCCTATCCACTAGAAACAAAATGCAAGCCATGTGTGTAATTTACAATTTTCTAGTAACCATATTTAAGAAAAGGTAAAAAGAGGGATGCCTGGGTGGCTCGGTTGGGCATCTGCCTTCAGCTCAAGTCATGATCCCAGGGTCCTGGGATTGAACCCCGCTCCCCCCTCTCCCTCTGTTGCTCCCCCTGCTTGTGCTCCCTCACTCTCCCTGTCAAATAAATAAATAAAATCTTTTTCAAAAATAAAAAAATTATATTAAATTAAAAAGGTAAAAAGAAACAAGTAAAATTAATGTTTTATCTACTCCAGTATATCTTAAATGTTACTGTATCAACCTGTAATCAATATAAAAAAATATGGCCTTGCCTCCCCATTTTCATTCCCCACCTCATATTTCATGGTGCAAATTCCTTCCAGTCCTTCCAATGCACCACGGCCTCTGTCTTGCCCATAGGCCTTTGCATATGCTGTTCTAGGCAGCTGGGAATGATGTGAGGTTATTCATTCTTCATACAGGCCTATTTGCTCTTCTGCATGCCCTTTTGGACTATAGCCCCGAAGAAGGCGGCACCATATCAGTTTTATTCATCATTGTACGTCCAGCCTGAGCACAGCTCTTGGTACAGCGCAGGCACTGTTAAATATCTCACCACCAAGTGAATTAATGAGCGACTTCACTACTTCTCTTCTGCGTCTTCAATTAAACCATGAACTTTCTGAGGAAAGGGACTATGGTTTGCTTCGTTCCAAGTGTCAGGCATAATGCCCACCAGTCATTCAGCAGATATATATTGAGCAACACCTCCTATATGCTGTGCACATAGCAATGGACATGGTTCCTGCCCTCACGTGCTCTAATAGGATGAGGGACATTTATCAAATAATCCTACCACTACACGTAAATTGCAGGAGTAAGAAGTGCCTACAAGGGCGCCTGGGTGGCTCAGTTGGTTAAGCGACTGCCTTCGGCTCAGGTCATGATCCTGGAGTCCCGGGATCGAGTCCCGCATCGGGCTCCCTGCTCAGCGGGGAGTCTGCTTCTCCCTCTGACCCTCTTCCCTCTCGTGCTCTCTATCTCTCATTCTCTCTCTCTCAAATAAATAAATAAAATCTTAAAAAAAAAAAAAGAAGTGCCTACAAAACAGAGGTACATTAAAGGTGTTGGAAGGGCACGAGATAGCATGACTGCCTGGCTGGGGAGCAGTCTTGACTCCTTGAGTTTTAATATAGGAGAACGTGGCGGCCAAAGGTGAGGCACCTGGTTCTGCCTTCAAAAAAGAGCTCGTCACCGAGATCGAGAAATGGCGGCTTCCAGATGCAGGGTTTTCAGGGCAAGGCTGAGCTCTTCTTCCAGGGCATCCCCTAGTCAGTGGCTAAACATGGTGGGGGGGACTGGGGCCATAATACTTCTGCCCGGTGGGGCTCCTCCAATGAGTTTTTGTTCTGGCACTTCCTGTTAGGTTATTTATCTTTGTCAGATCTGAGTCCTTGCCGGATCCTGCTTCTTCCCCTTTCTTTCATGGGCGTTACCCCCCCACCCCCACCCCCAACTCCATCTCAGCATCTCCTTCCTGGAGGACCTGACTTGACCCAGAGGGTCTTGGCGGCTGGATTCTGGTGGGCAAGGGAACTCAAAGTTATGCTTACAGGGCATTTTTATATAGAATCGACACACTACCCTTGCCCTTTGCAAAGAGTGGGGAAGGGCTGATAGTCATAGGAGCCTCTATGAGAATTAACTGCGGTAGTAGCTACATAGTATCTGGCACTCAATGAATGGCAGCTGTTACTATTACCTGGTTTCTTTTCTTTTTTTTTAAATTTTATTTTATTATGTTATGTTAATCACCATACATTACATCATTAGTTTTTGATGTAGTGTTCCATGATTCATTGTTTGCGTATAACACCCAGTGCTCCACGCAGAACGTGCCCTCTTTAATACCCATCACCAGGCTAACCCATCCCCCCACCCCCGTCCCCTCTAAAACCCTCAGTTTGTTTCTCAGAGTCCATAGCCTCTCATGGTTAGTCTCCTCCTCCGATTTCCCCCCCTTCATTTTTCCCTTCCTGCTATCTTTTTTTTTAACATAAAATGTATTATTTGTTTCAGAGGTACACGTCTGTGATTGAACAGTCTTACACAATTCACAACGCTCACCATAGCACATACCCTCCCCAATGTCTATCACCCAGCCACCCCATCCCTCCCACCCCCCTCCCCTCCAGCAACCCTCAGTTTGTTTCCTGAGATTAAGAATTCCTCATATCAGTGAGATCATGATACATGTCTTTCTCTGATTGACTTATTTCGCTTAGCATAATACCCTCTAGTTCCATCCATGTCATTGCAAATGGCAAGATTTCGTTTTTTTGATGGCTGCATAATAGTCCATTGTATATATATACCACATCTTCTTTATCCATTCATCTGTACCTGGTTTCTACTCATTTCCTCTGGGCTCTGGGGTGGCAGTGGGTGTTTCAGGAAACTATGCCTGGCACTGGGTGTAATCTTGAAGTTTTTCTTTTTTCTTTTTTTTTTTTTTAAAGATTTTATTTATTTATTTGAGAGAGAGAATGAGATAGAGAGAGAGCATGAGACGGGGGAGGGTCAGAGGGAGAAGCAGACTCCCCGCCGAGCAGGGAGCCCGATGTGGGACTCGATCCCGGGACTCCAGGATCATGACCTGAGCCGAAGGCAGTCGCTTAACCAACTGAGCCACCCAGGCGCCCTCTTTTTTTTTTTTTTTTTAAGATTTTATTTATTTATTTGACAGAGAGAGACACAGCGAGAGAGGGAACACAAGCAGGGGGAGTGGGAGAGGGAGAAGCAGGCTTCCCGCCGAGCAAGGAGCCCGATGTGGGGCTCGATCCCAGGACCCTGGGACCATGACCTGAGGAAGTTTTTCCTTTAATGTCTAAGTCGGGGTCCCCTCTGCTCCATGCAGAATTTTGGAAAAGTCTCCCTTTAGGGAGGGTAGACATGTGGAAGATTAAGGGATATATAACCACAGAAGTACTGAATCTGGCCCCAAAGTCCGGATTGCAAGCTGCACTGCCATCGGTCCAGAGGACGACCCCAAGAAAGGCCCTCCAAAGGTTCCCTGCTTTTCCTGGTACTGATTTAGGGTCCTCCTGGGAGATGACCTAATGGGAGACAGACAGACAGACTGGTGGACAAATATGACTCTCCAGTGGATGGACATGTGATGAGTGAGTGACTGATGGATGGACAGACGCAGGTCAGACTGTGAGATGTCAACACAGGAGATGGATCTGTCAGCCAGACGGTCAGGCATGTGACTTTGAGACGGACGGAGACTGACCGCAGGGCCTGAAGGCCTGGGAGCCTGCCACCTGCCGACTCGGCCGCGAGGGGGCGCCGCCGCTCCGCCCGGCGTGGCCCACCGCCACCTGGGCGCGCGCTCGCGGGCCGGCGGCGGGGCGGGGCTAGCGTGCGCACGGGGCGGGGCCAGCTTGCTCCCGGGGGCGACCGCGGGCGGGGGCGGGGCGCGCGTGCTCGCGGGGGCGGGGCGCGCGCGGCGGCGGCGCGTTCCGTTCCGGGCCGAGGCTCGCGGCGGAAAAGTTGTGGGGCAGAGAGGAGCGGCCCTGGGACGGGCAGAGAGCGGGACGCCGAGCCGGCTCCCGGCGCCCGCGGTCCCGCCATGGACGACCTCGGTGAGTAAGCGGGAGGCCGAGGGAGGAGGCTGCGGGGGGCGCGCGGCCCCGGGCCGGGCGGGCGCGAGCGAGCGGCGGGGGCCGTGGTATCCCGCCCCCGGCGGCCCGGGTCCCGGCTCAGCTCGCTGCATACTGGGGTTCCGCGGGGCCGGGATCCCCGGCTGGGCCTGAGTCCCGGGCCAGGCCGGCCTCGCCGCCGACCTCACAGCCGCCAGCCCCCGCCTCGGGGACGGCCCCACCTCCGGACCCCGGACCTCGGGGACCCACCCCCATCCTCTAGACCAGCCGTAGGGGCCAGCTTGCACCTCAGGGACCCGCCCCGTCCGCCCCAGGGACGGACCCCCTACTGCCTGCACCACATCGCCTCCCCCGCTGTGGGACCCTCCCTTCACAGCCGGCTCCCCCACCCCCCCCACCTCACTGATCGGCCGCCCAACTCGGGGAACAACAGCTGCCGAAACTCCCGGTTGGTCCCTCATTTCCAGGACCTGCTCCCACCCCTTTAAGGACCTCTGCTTCAGGGATAGCCCCTCCAAGGCCACCCCTTTCATTTCACAAGTTAAAGATGAGCCTCCAATGACCATACCCCCACAAAGACAAGTTTCTCTCTGTCCTATCCCCCCGCCCAACCCAGGTCTGGGCACCCTGTTTCATGGGCTGGTCACTCCACTTCCCGACTGCCCTGTCCACTCTGTGGACCAGCCCCTCCCCTTTCCTATCACAGATGAGCCTAATCCTAGAAGAGTAAGCTGGGGAGACATGATTCTTCCCCCGCTCCCAGAGTCTGGTGCAGTGCCAGGGGAATGAGGTGGGAAGTGGGCCCCGAGGTATGGCCATCTCTGGACTTGTCCGGGCTGGCAGAGTTCCTCCCACCCCCCAGCATCCAGCCTTGCTGGAGGCCACACAGGTAAGGAGGACAGGAGGCCCATAACAGAGTTTTACTGTTTTCATGTTATCAGAGCTCCCCAACTACTCTTTTCAGTCCAGTCTTGATCTGGTGTTAGGACAGGGAAAAGTATCTCCTGAAACCTGACACTAAACCCAAGGGGGTTCATGCCAGGGTTCTAGGAATGCCTTCAGTGACCTGAACCCTGGAGTGAGAGGATTCACTCTTCACTCCTCTCTCCCTCCCCTTCATGCCTGTAGCCAGAGGGCCTCTGAGCTGGGGAGGTATTGGTCGGGGGGGGGGGGGGGGGGGGGGGTGTGGGGGGGGGGGGGGGAGTTTCTTCTCTGTAGGAGCCTTGTCTTCCCTCTCTGGACTGTGGGTGGCTTGTGTGACCACTGATGCTTTCTCTGTCCCAGCCTCTGAGGAGTAGATTCATCAGACAGCTCTGACTGGCCGCCCCCAAGCGCACAGGGCACTAAGTTAAGACTGGCTATTTGTAGGTGCTGGACTTCCAAGGGGGCAGGGAGGAGGACCGCCAGCTTCCTTTTGCAAAAGATCAGGGCGCCGCGGAGAGATCCTGGTGCTGGGGATGGTGTGCAGTCCTGCCTGTTTTGCAGAGTGTGGTGGCTGCCAAGCATAGTTCTGCCTTTGGGTCAGGCTTGGCACCCATTTTTCTAACACACTCAAGGTTGGCATGGCTTGCAGGCAGGTATTTTTTTCACATAAAAAATAAGCTGAGAGGAGACTGGGGGATGTTTTTTGAACCAGGATCTGAAAGTCTTGATGCTTTCCCAGCAGGAACTGGGGAGCAGAGTTACGGTTTCTAAAATGCTGATGTGTTTCTCTTGCTTTTCTTTTCTTTTTTTTTTTTTTTTAAAGATTTTATTTATTTATTTGAGAGAGAGAGAGAGAGAGAGAGAATGAGAGATAGAAAGCACGAGAGGGAAGCGGGTCAGAGGGAGAAGCAGACTCTCTGCTGAGCAGGGAGCCCGATGCGGGACTCGATCCCGGGGACTCCAGGATCATGACCTGAGCCGAAGGCAGTCGCTTAACCAACTGAGCCACCCAGGCGCCCTCTCTTGCTTTTCTATAGTCCCTTACACACGGTACTGTTTGAAGGTCTGAGAGAGTTTTGTAGAGTTTGCTGTTGGAGTCCAGAATTCCTGTTTTCTGACAGTCTTCCATTTAGGGCCAGGAAACTGAGTGAGTCTCGGGGAAAAGAGTATACTGGCAGAGGGGACTGCAGGAATTGAAATTTGCTGTTTATGGAGTGCTTCCCCATACCTCAACTTGTCCCGTGCTCCCTCACAGCAACCCTTTATAAGAGCCCCTTACTTAGGGCCACTGCTCTCATTACTACCTGCCTTTTACAAATGGAGAAAACGGACTCAGAGAGGTTGATTCACTTGCCCAAGGCTGTACCGCCATGGAATGACCAAACCATGACTAGAGAAGCCCAGTCCTTGGCTCCTAGATCTGCAGCTCTCGTGTACCAAGGGGTCTTTTCTTGCTGAGGAGGGGGTGAGCAGCACGTGAAGGAGGGGTCGCAGGGGAGTGGTGGCTGCCGCCTGTAACTTCTGCCGCCTTCCAGCAGACTCCCCAGTTGTTCTGGGCTGCCTGACTTCCTTGGCCCAAGCTCCCAGGAGACCAGCCACGCCTGGCTGCCCCGGAGCCCCCGGGTGGGAGCAGTGGGGCGAGCTGGAAGGGGAGAGGAATTTGCCTCTGTGCTCAGCCCCCATCAGCTGCCTGGATGGCTGCACCTCAGCTGTTTTCCTTAGTTAGGGTGGACACAAAGGCCAGGCCTCTTGTTTTTACTTTTCTCCTGAGAGTGCTCTCAGCTGTGAGCCTCCTGGTTCCTGAAACAGGGGAGTTTATGGTCTGTCCTGTGGCAAGGCTAGAGGCGGCAGAGTCTCTGCTGTGACTTGTTTTTTTTTGGGGGGGGTCTTAAAAATTGGGGGACTCTTTCCTCCCCAAAGTGACTAGTGAGTGACAGCCTCACCATGTGCTGTTTAATAAGTTACAAATTCATAGCTCTTTGGGCAGAAAAACAGAAACACTGCCCTTCCCTGTGTGTTCTCTCTGTGCTGCAGGGGTGGCTGCTGGCGGCTTTTCCCCGTTACTGTTTAGATGCTGGTTTGGCCCGGGGTTCGCTCTGTTGAGTTCTGGCTAGAGTTTCCTGGACAGAGTTCCCACAACACTGAGATGCACTCTGATTACGGTTTCGGACCCAACTCCCCGCTCTCCCCTCGTTCATGTTCCTAGTGCTCTTGGGGGGGGGCTGTGACCACAGCTGCGGTCCAATAAAGGTCACGTGTGCTTGATGGGAGACAGGCATCGGACTCAGCATTTTAGGGGTATGATCACTGCCATTCCGAGAGGGAGGTGTTTTATCTCCGCTTTACGGATGGGGAAACTAGCCCTGGGAGGCTCACTGGGGGAAGCTGGGGTTGGAACACAGACTGATCCAATTCCAGATCTGGTGAACTAAATCATAATAAGGTTAAGTGCTGGGTGAGGTGACTAACTGGGGGGTGAGCCATGGGCTTGCTGACTAATTGCTAGTTACCTTCAAAATTTGTGCCCTGGGGGCCGTCCCGGATAAACGGCCTCGATGGTAAAGCGTGGGTCCAGTTCAGACCTTGATAGCTTTGCCTTCCCATCTCTTACAGGGGTAACAGCCAGCTGTTGGCAATGCCCAAGACTTCCCAGCAGTCTTGACCCTCTGAAAAACAGTGCCTCATTGTCCTTAGGGGGAGTGCTAGGGGAGCAGGGCAGTTGCCTGGGGCATTCCGGGCTACGGAGCCTCCCTGTTTCCATGGAAAGTCTGCGCTTCGGGCTTGCCTGTCTGTGGTGCCTCTGTGTGTTAGGCCAGGGTCAGGGCACCCAGCTGCTGCCCCGCGGCAGAGGCAGCCTGGGGAGCGATGGTGCGTTCCGCATCCATGCCGGATGTTCTGGGCTGTACGCTAGTGAGGTGTGGAGCTGGGCCCCGAACCCGGTGCGTTTGGTTCTCAGGCAGGTGCGCTTTCCGTTATGCTAAGCTGTCTGCTGCTCCGTGTGGAGAGGTTCGGGTTGCTGGGGCCATAGCCCTGCCGCTGTGGGTTGGAGGTCTTCCAAGGGAGCCTCGCAGTATTCCCTCCAGCTTCCCCAGTGATGGCCATGCATTGAGAGGCTGGGTGGGTCTTTGGCTGGAGGGCCGCTCAGAAGGCCGGAGTTACCGCAGGAGCTCTAAGCAGCGCTTAGAGCAGGAGCTCCCCCATATAACTCACCGTGCGTGGAGTGTGCTGACCCTCCAGAGCTTCCTTGGGCCTTTACCTTGTTCCAAGGCCAGAGAGTGGAAAAACTCCTCCCGCCTCCGCCTCATTGCAGCCCTTCCCTGGGTTGTCCTGGTCTCAGTGCCTTCATTAATAATAACAAACAGCTGTAGAACTCTTTCCCATAGTTTTTATTGAGCACTTAAACTGTGTACAGGCACTGTGCTGGGCACCTTACGTGCATTGTTTCCCTGACTCATGTCGGCCATAGGAGGCACAGGTTCTATTATTATTACTACTGTCCATTTTACAGACGACGAAACTGAGGCACAGAGAGTGTTAGCCCCCTTACCCAAATTCTGTTAACTAGTGAGTGGCAGGGCTGGGGTTTAAATGCAGAGTCGGGCTTGTAACCATTTTTACACCTCTGTTCCCATAATGCTGGATCGGATCTCGCTTGCCTATTGGTTTGGTTGTTTTCCATTTCTAGGATGCTAAAAATCTTTCCTGCCCCCTCCCCACAGCCTCCATTCTTCCCCTCCCCACAGTCTCCCCCATGCATCCCCTTCCTGTTCTCTGGGCTTCTTCCCTCTCCTTCTGTCTTTCTCGGGATGGGCTGGGGGACACTTGTGGCAGAGGGTCTCCTGCTCAAGGCCCTCCCATCCCCTCTTCTCCCCCCCCTTCAGTCACCTGTTCCCCTCGGGGCAGAGGGTAGCCCTCTGAGGTCCCTCTTCTACGCCTGGTTGGAATCGGAATCAAGCCCTCCATGCCCTTGGCCCATACAGATGTGCTCCTGTCTTCATTCAGGTGTTTCTATGTTGCCACCAGCTGGAGCCGGCCCATTTCCAGAGGAGGAAGTCTTT